GGGGGATACCATGGGGGTGGGGGGGTGGGGTGAGGGGGGGGGTGGTGGATGCTGTCGCATATAACCCCACACCCAATATATCCTTACATAAGCACATATAACCCAATTTAAATACTGAGTACTTGTGATCTACCTTCAGACCTTCAGCTGCATCTCCCAGCGCTGCCCTTTCACGACAACCTCTCCTGGGCTCCGCAGGGAGTGACGAGGACGGTTTTGTTTCTCTGGTCTCTTTGGAAGCAAGCCCCTGAAGTGTCTACACAAGGGTTCGAAAAGCGCTCGAACTAGGGACCCTGGCAGACACTGCTGAGCGTGCAAGAGCTCTTTGGCCTGCTGTGCACCATCAAGGAAACCCCCAAAAGTTCGGAATCGAAAGTCCCAGTTGAGTAACAAAAAAAACAGTGTGGCAGCCCCGCGACATGCAACACCCTCTGTGCTTGCCAAGGATCCAATCGAAATGGCACGGCCGTCACCGTATCTTAGTTGCGCTGCATGAGGTAGTTGCGTCACAGGTGTGAGGATGAGGCCCAACCCCGCTGCAGTATTGGTCAGATTTCTGTACTGAAGCGACTGTGCTCAGGCCTGTGACTAGCTACTGGCTATTGCAGAAGGACCAATTAATGAGTCTGGCATGCACAACTACATTCCCGGCATTTGCTAAGGTGCTCTCCAAGCGGCCCATTCCCATTGCCAAAGGGGCAGTTTCGTACCATTGGCTGTCCCATGATGGAAAGAGCATACGGAGTGCACCTCAGGCCATCCAGACATTGCTCCAATATTTGGTGAAAAAGGATAAATCAGCAGTGCTTCCTGTCAACTTGCTAGAAAATAAAATCTCCACGGTGATGTAAACACAAAAACCTTGAGATCAATACCTTACAATGAATGCCGCTGATCTTGAATGATCTAGGGAGCTTCAAAACCATGCGCACGCAGAGGATATTATCATGGGCCCTCTTTGCTGTACATAAATCCAAAGCCGCAAACTTTAGCTAGGCCCCTAATATTCTACAAGGCACCATGACTCCAGCTTTCCTCCCGCAATCTGCTGCTGGCCCGAAAAGAAGGCAGCAAACTCCTACGTGCATTCTGTTTGCTTAAGGGTGTACAGCTTAAGCCTGTGAGCTCTCGAACTTGCGGCCTAATTTGGGAGGACTCCCGTTATTTGAAAGGGGAAGTCAGTGAGTCTAGGTTTCAGCATGTTCCACATTTGGCTGGCAGAATCAGCGGGATCATGTCTCTGCCCTGTTGGTCCATGTAATTACACAAGAGCAAACCCCTCGACAAGTTCAAAGGAAAGAATGTCAATCCCAAAGAATTCCCATCACGCATCTCCTACAACACCTGAGCTCCCGTCCTGACTACTGCAGTCTGCCTCGGGGATGCCAAGGGCCTTGGATTCACCCTTCCTCCTCTCTTGTATTACAGACACAAAACGTTGATAGAGCACTTCTTAGGATGGTGACTGTCCGAAAGACTTCTGCAATTTCTGCGAAAACCCCTAATTAGGGGCCCCAAAGCCCCAGCATCTGCCATGGTTACCAGCGAAACTCTACCAATAAGCACTGATATGCTTAGAGAGCCTCCTTAGGCTTCAGAATATTCGTTCTAAATAGTAGTTTCCATTTTATTTTCCATTATCCCCATATAACTCCCTTCAATAACCCCTAATAACCCTAATATAACCCTAATATAACGAGAATTGTTCTAAGATGCTTCTGCCATGGCCGCCGAGTAGAGGATCAGCTTCGGCTCTGGGAGGGGTGTAGGGGCCACGCGAACATAGTGACCTCCCAGACCCCCAAAAGGATCTAAAAATTAGATCCCCTAGAACCATATGGGAAATTATATAAGGATTATATAGGGGTTATAGTTATAATGGGTCTATATAGGGGATCTAATTTTTTGTATCCTCCCAGGGGTCTGGGCTGCGCCATGCAGTCCGAACTCGAAGTGAGCGCATTGAGTGCAGGTGCTTTTCACTGTAAGGACCATGTTAAAAGAAGCTGCGGCTCACAACAATCGTTCAGGAGTCGCCATTTCTGCAGACCGGCCTGACTTGACTTGCCGGCTGCGCTTGTTGGGGTGGTACTTCTCCTCATTGAGGCCAAGGCAGCAGCGTCTTTGAGGCTAGGGCTGGAAGCTATGTGATGGGGACGTCAGGCTTGTTGAGTCCGATGCCTAACTTTCTGGAGGTGCCAATCGCATTTCCGGCCAGCTAGCTGTCATCGTGGACCTTCTGACGTTGCTCGCATTTTACGGCCTTTCCCTAGCACCAACCCCATCCTATACCGAATTCGAGGGCATGACAGTGAGAGTACATGCGAAAGCCCCAATGGTCACACCACGACTCCTAAACGTAGATCTTGTGTTGGAAGCTAATGGAAACTGTGATTCGGACATCGAACCCAAAGCATTCTCATTCCTTTGTTTTGACGGAGTGGAGGTCACGATCCAAAATCTCAATGGTCATTTCTGGGCTCAATCAGATTCCCGGATCGCATCTTTTCTGGAAAGATGCTTACACATCCCTGCTCATTTATAACATTGCTCGAGGCAGCAGACACTGCAACTAGGCACTTTGGGCAAGAGAATGCAAGAGACAAGTGTGCGGCGCACGTATGGTGCATCGCTCAAATGCGCAGATGGCCATAGTCTTGGCAGGTTGACGATTTCGAAGCACTCTGCCGCGTAACTGCTCTAAGCTACTCACCCATAATCCTACTGGTTGCGAGTAGGGAATAGAGGAATGGATCTCTATGGTTGCTTCAAAATACTCTCCAATGATGTAATATTTTTGTTGTTTTTTTCTATTCCTCATTCCCTGGGTTTTTGCCTAAACCCTAAACCCCAAATCCCCCAAAAAGATATCAAGAGACCGTCTCTGGGTCCGGCTGAAGCTGACGAAGCCATGAGTGGTCTGCACCTGGTGGCTTCTTCTTTCTGGTGCCTATAAAGGCCCAAACCCTAAACCCTAAACCCTACAGTAAGACTCACTCCCCTGCTTCGGCTCAAGCCTCAAGGGAAGGGGGGGGGATAGAGTGACAAAGCATAAGATGGCCCTCATTCTGGGGGGTTTAGGGTTTAGGGGGCCAATAAGGGGTATCTGTGGCTGTGAGAAATCTCCGGCGAGGGCGACCGAGAAGCGAGGCTCTCAGAGTGTAGACTGACCATGCAGGGATCATATAAAAGAAAATGGTAACTACTGTGATAGGGTGTATATATAGGGGGGGAAGAAAAACAATATATATATATATATACACATCTCCCGAATACTGTATAGTAGTTTCCATTTTCAGCGTGAACTATCATGAGATGTTCTCTGGCGAGTAAATGGGGCTGTCCTCACGTTGCCTAGCAAGGCTGTAGCTGTGGGCTTACATCTTTGTAGGTTCCAAATGAGGACTAGCAAAGGGATAGGCAAGCGCAAGCTACAGCTTCCTTAACATCCTCAATCCGGGCCCCCTTCCCTTGTGCATCATGATCTCAAATTGGGATCTAGACATGTCTGCTAGGAATGGGGCTTTTGGATATTGTGGATCCTCAAGCTCTTTGCAGCGAGAATCCCAATGCTGCCATCATCTGCCATCCGGCCGTACATACATACACAAAGTACACGTCATTGGCGGAAGCACGGCTGATGCTGCCTTGCATCTGCGTCTCCAGGGGTGCGGGTTTGAAACAGAATCTGATGTCACAGGCTTGGAATCCAAAGAACTTGGCGGGGCGATCATCATTTGATGATCTGCCATATTTGAAAGGGGACACACGAAACACCTCTGACTACACTTGGCTTTGGAGGGGACCATGTAAACTACTAATTACGCCCATTGGCTCAACAAAGGTCACATCAGCACACTTGCTGCTACTCTTCAAGTGTCGAGCCAGGGCTGGGACTCTGGAAAAGCTGTTGAAGCGGTGCCATGCTCTGCAGGTCGGCAGTCTGTGGCAAGCTACGTAACTCAAAACTGCCAGGAATCCGTCCACCTAGTCAAGGGTGTCAATGGCTGCTGACTTCTTGTTGACGCTTAGCTAAGATGTGTCCTGTATGGGCATAAGCCGCTAAGTAGAAACCGTTTCAAGTATAGGCTCAAAGGGGTTTGCACAAAAAGATTCCAACATTGATGTTGCTTGGGAATCCCAAGCCCTAAGCCTTAAACCAAACAGTAGCTTGCATGTTTCTATGCGTGAGGGCAAGAGCCAAGCCTCATGCCAATTCGGCCGCGCGCGATGCAAGTGGCATGCAAGCCCCAGCTTACCGCCTCATGTATAAACATCATGTCGGGACGAATGAGTTAATGTCTTATCATGGCCTACTTGGATGGGTCCTACAGCCCCAAATGTCAACTGGGTGATTAAGCGCACGGGCGGGCATGCTCAAGCCATTATCCCTATCTAAGTAGGAAGTAGCAAGTTCGTATAAACAGGCCGTAACTAGTTTCCAAGAATTAAGCACACCAACCTCACTTACACCAGAATCCCCAAAAACGGATGCTTGTACTGCAACATCCGATATCTACATTGGCCAACATCGGGCCCCCCCCCCGCATCTGCAACAATCCTTCATAATATCAGACCCCCGCCAGAACACGAGGCATGATTCTGGCCCAGTCAACCGCCTCCGTGGCGGGCGCCATCTGCTTCTCTGTCTCGGCACCTTGGAAAGGCACCGCAGTTTCGCAAAAACATGGAAGGTAAGGCAGTCGTGGCATGGGACTGCATGGCGCGCTCATAAACTTAAGCATGCACTTCACATCCAGCTGTGAAGTTCAGCAGCTCTTAAACTTAATACATGAAGCATTCCCTCCGGGGATCATCCGACGAATCAATGAAATTGGAAAGATACAGAGAAGATAGGCAGCATGGCTCGTGCGCACCGATGACACCCTCAAATCGAAAGGTAAGCTTCAAGATGTTTCCGCAAAATCATTCCATGTCAAGAAGCAGCGTGCCCCCGAACAGTGTAATATGGGAGCAAAAAACTTGAACATGTGCCGTTCAGGTTGAAACCCTTTCTGTCCTCTGGGGCCCCAAAACCAAAACGCATTAAAGCTGCTAAAAGGGCTTTCTGTGATAAGCATGATCCTCTTTAGTTAGGGGCGGCCGAAACAAATTATGAGATGCCTCTTCTTTAAAGCCGGCCCAACACTACGCAGCATGTGTCATCTTTACCGGAAGGGGCTCTCATCGCCCAGTCCGGGCATTTGAACCTCCGCGCCATGCCTATTACGAAAAATAGCTCGATTGCAGCAGGGTCTAGGGAACATACTTTGCAGGCTCACTTTTGTCGCCACATTGCATTCAAGCATATCTGGGCGATCAAGGGCTGACCTACGCACAGCGGATGCTCCCATCAGCTTGTGCAACATTTCGGATGAATTCTGCACTAGGACTCTCTCGACAAAATAGAGGCATCCGGATAAACGACAGCTTGCCAGCTGGGACTCTCTCCTAAAAATCAGCACTGGCAGGAAAGGCCCACTTTCCAACATCCTTAGCTGCAGGACATGCAAGCAAAGGCACACTCTGAGGGCGAAGGAGCATGACATAAGGATCTTGAAAGATGTCCACTTGTTCAGAAGTTGTAGTAGCATCATAAGTAGGCCACACCGCAGGCGACTCTGCAGCTGGCCTTGTTTCTTGACCCTCAGGCCTGATTTGGCCCCATCCTTGTTGAGCTTGTACTCTCCATCACTTCCCCCAGGGCCATCAAAGCATCCAACTTAAGTCCGCCAAAGCTCGCTCTCTTCCTGCGCAAGGTGCTTCAGCGGGTGCTCATCGCGCCAGTGGTGCGCCAGGGTGTAGTCCTGCCAAGATGAACTTCTTGCTTCGTTTGGGGCTCCAGGCATCAGAGCTGATTCTCGAACCCCGAGCGCGGGTAGGATAATCTCGCATGCCGAATCAGGCTGCTCGTGGTGGAGATAAGCTCTTGTCATGCAAGCAAGACACACTGTCAGGGTACTGCTACATCTGGCCAGAGGCTGGTTACACCATGCCAGGGCGTGCCTGGATGTTGCCGGTTTGGGCCCTTAGGCCAATGCTAATGTGTTTGTCTCAATGCCGAGAGCCATTAGGCCAAGTTCCGCAAAACTCATAACTGCAAATCTGCGCAGGAACGCTGAACGCATCCAAGTGTTGAGATATTATGCAGGCCTCCCTGTAAAGTCTAATTGGCCAGTTGGCTCGGAAAGCTTTTGCCTAAACTCGACTGTGGCGCATCACATGAGTGACTGAACATGGGCAAGCTGTGAGGAGATTAACGTCTTGCCAAGAAGCCGGGCGATCCCATCAAAGGAAGCCAACGCTACACCTCCACAGGCCAAGCACACTACGTTGAGGTCACTGAGCTTGCAAACCCTTGCGGAATTACTTGTAAACTGGTACTATTCGCAAGCCCACTCCCCGACATCTCCTATACCTGGTCCTTGGGAATGTGCCCAGATTTTGTAAACCACGGAAACTTGCCTCGCAGCCGCGTCAGTGCTCGAAACGCACTCCTCTTCTCCTGTTCGCAGCATCTGTGTGGTTGCATGAGCTTTGCCACAAGCTTTGCTTTGAGATGAGAGGAGATGAGCATCAAACAACACCCCTGATATATCTTCTCAGCAACACACCACGAGCCTCATGGGCCGTGGGCAAACCTCATGAACCTTCGGCCCGCGACACAGTAGCCGTTGAGTGATGGCACTTAAGATTGCTTCCCTCAAGCAGATAAGCTGCAGTCTTGGGATGATCTCTAGGAACACTAATGGTAGCTTCCATTTTCTTTTCTATTATCCCTATATAACCCAATATAACCCTAATACTATAGTAGCTTCCATTTTCTTTTCCATTATCCCTATATAACCCAATATAACCCTAATACTATAGTAGTTTCCATTTTCTTTTCCATTATCCCCAATATAACTCTCACATGCCTGACCCACCTCGCATGGAGCTAGCGTTTCCCATAGTTGCATCCTATTTCCGGAAATCCTTGCCGCCAAAAACCTTGGAATTCTGGCAATGTCAGCTTCCCGCGAAGCCACGTCCTGACACCAAACCCCGAGCCTCACCTAGGCCCAAAGCCCCCTACCCATCGTCTTGTATCTCAAGCAACACCCTTAAGCCTTAGGCTTATCAGGAATCATGCCTTTAACAGCACCTCCCTAAGACTAACGACTAGCTGCTTCGATGCTCCTCAGCCACCTCTGCGCGTTCGAGTTGGTCCACCTTGCTTAAGGTTGTCGAAGAATGGCATGGAGCCTCTTGAAAATACGATGGACTTTTGCGTGGTCAAATGCTGCTGACAGCTGCACATGCATTGGGAGAGGGAGGCAGAGAGAGAGAGAGAGAGAGAGAGCGCGCATTTGGCTCATCGTAGGGCAGTGGCTTAATCCAGGGAGTCAACTATCCCGACGGTCATTTTTAAAATGTGTGCAGCGGATGGAGCACTGGAGTGTGTAAAAGGGTTCAGACCATGATGACTAAATGCAGGGATTGCGCCATTCCATTTGTCTCTGAGATGGCGGTGTTCGTCAACTCCTGACAGGTGCCGGCCAGCAAGCTGCGAGCCCATCTCGCTACCAGAAAGAAGTGACCACAGCCAAAAAGAGGGTTTTGAAGTTCATCATGTTTTGCACTCTGGTTGCGTTGTGTGGGGGTCAAGGCTTGGCGATGACTCCGCTTACAGGCATCCACCAACCAAAGGACCTGACTCAAGATCATGCTACCGGGCATGCTTGCAACGAAGCCGGAATGCTCATTGGCTACGGCTGCATGCGCAGCAAGTGAGGTACCGGGGGTCATTGGCGATGATCACCCTTTTGCAACCCTACTTCTTGCAGAGCCTACGTAAATACCCTTCTGCAAGCACAGAACCAAACCCCTTACTGCCCCTTACTAGACATCCCAGGAAGCCCGAAATCCCAGTCCTTGCCAGCTTCTTGGCGGCCAAAAGGCTCAAGACCGCCAAAGGGCATGGGCGCTTTCACCTTTCATCTGGGCGTGCAAACTGAGACCCGTTCAACACTCTTTTGTCCAACTTGTTCTTTAATTCACGGCTGTGACTGTGTCAAACTTCTTAGCCAGCACCAGGTCAGCTCGCCTCCTTGTCTTTGGCAGTCTCCTCGTCCGGAGCATGCGTCTTCGCAACGCTCAAGACCTGCTATGCAGGAGTGCAATGCAATGCGAAGAATCTCCGACTGCGAGCAGACTGCAACATCCATCAGTTTAGTGGTCTAAGTCATCCCCCAGCACACCATCAGATCCCTGACGTGTGCAGGCCTGATGCTTCTCCACATCTGCTGCCAGGACAGTGCACCAGAGGGCCAGAAAAAGCCTGAAGTCCACGGTGAGAGTACTGGTCTGCGAGGTTGCGAGAGCTTTTTCACAACCCTTTCGCAACTTATCTTGCAACAGCATGTGTCACCCATGCTGCAAAGAACAACTTGCGGGCCTTGCCATCATGGCAAGGCTTGCAGGGTAGCCAGAGCTCCCGCACTACGTTTTCAGCTTGAGCCAAGGCCCGGAACCACAGCATTCTCAACACAACACCTGACAAATGGTGACAAGTTGGCCAAGGATGCACGCACGAATGTCAAGCCAGGCCCATCCAAGATACGAACTCTGCAGTCGTTCAAGAGCTTGCAAACGCCGCTCGAGGCCTCGAAAACATATTTGCAGAAAGAAAAAGTGCCAGTGTGTAACTTTTGGCATTGAAGCTGCAGTAACGCAAGGCCAAGGCCGAGGAGAGTTCGAGCCTGGACGGCAAGCTGGTCTTTCACCTGCATGGCCGGCCAGGCATAGCTGCACGCCAGAAGTTATGGACACTCTTCCTTCTGACTCTTTGAGATATAGCTCGCTTGGCTACGGATGCTCAAGCCTCCATCTCAGACTCCTTCACATCCTGACGATGATTGTAACATGGGGCAAGAGCGGGAACAAAGTGAAACTTGCTTGCAAGCGCCGTGCTACAGGGATTGGCTGCTTTGCATAAGGATGACAAAACTTTCGAAGAGGCTGCATTGAGAGTATAATTGCACAAGAAACAGCTCAAGATGGCAAAGCCCCAGGTCAAAAAAAAAGGACCAGGAGCATGCCTCAAAGAAGTTTCATCAAGCAGTCTGATGATCTCCATAAGGCATTGGAGCAGGAGAACTAACTTCTACCCCTATTCTGAGATGCCGGATGCGCTACATTGGGGAACCTGGATGTGCTACTTGTACAAGGTTAGGAAACCTGCGCTCAACAACTTAGTATGGGGCTTGTGTGCATCTATGACTGAGTCTTTGCTTCCCATAGGCTCCCTGAGGACCAACAATGCCGCTTGTCTCCCCGCAACCCGAATTACAAACTTCTCAAGTCTTCTCCAACTCCAATCACCAATTCCACTTCCACCCAGGCCAAGTGGCATCGAATCCCTTACCCCCTAGGCCTAAATGCCTCTACTAAACGCCGAAGCCCACTTGTAACCTTAATCGGTGCTCCTGTTCGGGCTCCGATCCAGAGCCTTGCTTTGCCTCAGCTACATGGGCACATAAATGGGACTTTGGGGGTTTCCCAAAATTGGGGGGTACCATGTTAGGGGTCCCCATAATCCGCCGACCCCGCTCT